GATCTCTTTAAGCCGTCCCGCAGCAAAACTCAGGAGCAGAGATCCCAAACTCCTTCTTGCTTTATGGGACTGGCCCGCGTTACCAGCTCTGCACCAGGGCTGCAAACAGTTAAGTACCTCAGTGGTAGCCTCCTTAGGCGAACAGCTTTAGGCACAAGACTCAGTCTTAAAGATCAGGTTGCAACAGAGGAAACAGGTCCAGATAATACTGATTATATATTATCTTTATTCAGTGCACAAGCATGCATATAACATGAGACTAGCAAAAGATAAGAAACAAAAGATACCTATAGCTTGTTCAGTTCTAGCTACACAATAGAGGCATGTCATAGTTACCAGGCTTTCAGAGGTATCCGCTGAAATAGTCCAAGGTCTCACCAGGGGATCTTGAAAAGGAACCCCATGGTTTTGTGGGCAGCTAGTCCAGCTTGGCTGCCTAACAGTCTCACTCCATGTTAACAGCAAACAGTCAATCCAAAAGAACTCTTTGTTTCCAGAGAGAAATTCCCTTAACTCTTCTCCAACCCTCTATGGATCATTCCTGATATACCCCCCCCCCCCGTCACCACCAGGTATGGCCATTTACCCAAGACCGAGAGTGGGGAGGCGTTCCACTCTCTGGTTACCATGTGTTGTCAGGCAAGGTATGTTTTGATTGGCTTGGAGTTGGGCATCCCACTCCAGCCTCTTCTATTGACCATATGTCATGTCAGGGAACGCTTTGGATGTGCTAATGTACTGGGCATAGCTCGTCCCATGCTTGGGAAGGCGCCGGCAACTCACTCTCTCCTGGCAGAGGTGTCAATGTGTCTTGTATATGGAGATGCGGCCTGGCCATCTGGCAAGCCATTTGCACAGGTGAAAGGGGTAACGCGTTAGTGTTACCAGCAAGGGCCATCTGGCCCAAGCAGGGAGGATTTTAGAAAAGTCTTTTTCTATACAGGAGGCCCTCGGAGCCGGCAAACCCTATTAATCCTCAGGAACGTGCGCGTATCGGGAGCTCCTGTGCTAATGGAGAAGGAAACACCAGAGGCAGGCTTAGGGTGTGGAGTTCACAAGCTTATTTCGACAAAATGGATATTTACGGGGGGGGGGGATTTAGAACTATCATGTTCAAAGCAAAATGCAGATAATAAACTTTTCACGCTGCCACAGAAGAAGGGCTCAGTGGCAGAGCATCATTGTAGCATGCGGAAGGTGCCGGGTTCGATCCGTGGCATCTCCAGTTAAAAGGACTGGGGAGGCTTTAAGCTCTCTTCATAGGGGAAGTGTTCCATCCTCTTAATCTCTTGGGTTGCCCTTTTATGCACTTTTACTAATGCTACAGTGCCTTTTTTGAGATGCAGTGACCAGAACTGTAGACAGTACTCCAAGCGAGGCCGCAGCATCAATTTATACAGGGGCATTATGAGACAGGCTGATTTGTTTTCGATTCCCAGTTCACTTCCCATTAATAGGAACAGCTCAGATATCAGAACAAGAACAAAATCCACCCAAAATCCAATCGGGAGAGATGGAAACCAGAGGCCGCTGCCAGAGAGACAATTCGGTGGCAGAACAGGCGAGAGTTGAAGGCGGCAGAAGCTCTTTGTGTGGGACAGCCAGATCCCCAGGATCTCATGAGAAGATCCTCCTTGTTCTCTTCTTAGGCTTCAGGTACGGACACTAAAAAAGAAACAAAATGAGACTCTTAAGCGAAGCCACCGTGGAACTGTCAACATGCATCAAAACCAGGGAGTGGGGAGGGCGGGGAGTGCGGGAGACACAAAGGCCATCCAAGCTTGTGTTTCGCTAAGGGGGGGCATCTCAACCATGCCCCCCCTCACAGATCAAGCCACAAGCAGGGTGCCGTGCCAAGGGACCCATAGCACAAAGGCCTCCAATGGGCCACTCAAGCAAGCGAGTCAAGCCACAGGCTTCAGGGGAAGCCAGGAAATCAACCGGGGAACTAACCCCCGGCCCAGAAATCCCTTCCCTAAGAGGGTCGTCAGGAAGACCCTGAGCAAAGTCAGAGAGGAAGGAGACCCTCCACAAGGTGAAAATTCAGAGCACTAGAAAATGGACTGGCTGAAGAAAGGGCAGAAGTTGTTCTTGTGGGGAAAGGACTCAGCCCCACAGCTGATGATAACGGCCATAATTTTGCACTCTGCTGATGCTCAGAGGCTAGCCTCGAGGGTTATAATACAAGAACAGTTGGCGAGGCTCTGGTTTCAGGTGGAAAACGAGGTAGGGGCAGACCCTATTGGATGGCAAATGGCTGCCGGCCTGGGAAACGGCCAGGTCTTCCTGAGGAGAACGTAATGTAGGGTAATGAGAGCCAGAAGATTCCGGAACCGGGAAATACTGGCGTTTCACAGCAGGACAGGGGTAAAAGAAGAACGGGATTTCCTGTTGTGAGAGGAAAAGAAGGACTCTCTCTTTCTCCACCGACTGCACTGGCTACCAATTGAGTACGGAATCCGGTTCAAGGCGTTGGTGCTGACCTTGGAAGCCCTAGGCGGCCAGGGACCGACCTATCTGTGGGACCGCCTCTCCCCTTATGTGCCCTGTAGAGCTTTACGCTCGGCAGGGCAACACCTGCTGGCAGTCCCCAGCCTAAAAGACGTCTGCCTGGCCTCGGGTAGGGCCAGGGCCTTCTCTGCTCTGGCCCCAGGCTGGTGGAACATGCTCCCAATTGAGATCAGGGCCCTGCGGGAGTTATTACTGTTCCACGGGGCCTGTAAAACAGAGCTGTTCTGCCGGGCTTTCGGCTGAACAGGGCCTGCAAAACAGAGCTGTTCCGCTGGGCTTTCAGCTGACTGGCAGGCAGTCCTGGCCCCTTCTTCCTAGAGGTAATTTGACTGTTCACTTCCCTTACAGAGCCGCACTGTTTGACAACAATGTATCCAATTCTCATCATAGTTCCATTTGCGGATACTTAAATCCAGAGACTGGGACTGAGAACAGACAAGCCAGATCTTACTACAAACCAGACAGAAGCCCCAGGTTTGCAGGAAAATCTGAAAATATATAATAGGAGTTAAAGTGATAACAGCAGAAGAAGAAGAAGAAGAAGAGATTGGATTTATACCCCGCCCTTCACTTGGAGTCTCAGAGCGGCTTACAAACTCCTTTCCCTTCCCCTCCCCACAACAGACACCCTGTGAGGTGGGTGGGGCTGAGAGAACTCTGACACAAACTGCTCTTTTTCAAGGACAGCTGTGCCAGAGCTTGCGACTGACCCAAGGTCACATCAGCAGGTGCAAGTGGAGGAGTGGGGAATCAAACCCGGTTCTCCCAGATTAAAGTCAGCACACTTAACCACTACACCAAACTGGCAGGGCCTGTAGCTTTAAGAACTGGGTGACCTCTGAGATTTCAGAGGCTATTTTGGGTTGTGCTACTCAACCGAAACAGTATTGTCAGCCTGCAAGCCTTGGATTCTGTCAATAAAAGGCAGGAGTGCCCTCTCCAAGGCTGCTTTGGCCTTTGAGGGAAGACTCAAGGCCAGGCCCACTGGACTCATTGATCCCATGTTCTACCCCATCCTGGTGGCTTCCTACTATTCAACAGCAACCACTGCATGAGAGCCAGTAGGTGTACAGATTCAGACTAGGGTCTGAGAGAAGCAGGTCTGAATCCCCGCTCTGCCAAGGATACTTGCTGGGTGACCTTCGGCAGTCACTCTCTCTCAGCCTTACCTACCCTGGTGGAGATAAAATGTAGGGGGGAGAATTATGTATGATGCTTTTGGGTCCCCATGTTGGGAAAAGGTGGGCCATACATGAATGAATAATAAATACAGCTGAAGATAGGGGGCAGAGAACAGGTCAGTTAGTGGGTGGGAAGGAAGGAGAGAAGGAAGCAAGGAACGGGGACAGAATATGGGGGTTGCCGGGGGGGGAGGAAATAGTGTGGGAAGCAGGATACACAGGAAAGGTAGGTGCTCCCCACAAATCCTTGCAGGTTCTGCACTTGTTGTCTCATTGCCCTGAGCAATTAAAATATTTGTAAATGTTCTAGGGCATCCCAGGAATCTGGCCAAGGTGGGGTGTGTGTGTTGTGGTTTACATGCAGGTGAAACTCAGGTTTTTGCCAATGACAGTCTGCTTGATCTTAAAAGTTCAGAGCAGCCAGTAGGGTTCCTGCAGACGCTACAAAATCCAGCTAACCCTGTATGAAGTGATGGGGGAGCTTTAATGGCTGGATATTCTGGTTGGGGGAAAACAATAGAGAGAAGAAAGAGGAGACCAAAGTGCATCAGGAATGGGAGTGGCAAAGCCTAGCCGACAACAGACCGAGGAATTGGGAGGGGGGAGTTGGGTTTCTGCCCCCCTGGAAAGGGCAGCACTTGGAAATCAGTTTCCAGCCACCCCATTCTCCTGGTTCATGTGGACCCTGGGATGACACATAAGCGTAGCCGTGACTTGAATCCCAAATCTGCCCATGACACTAGGAAGGAAGGCCCTCCTGCGGCCCAATCACTGGCCATTCAGAAGGTCCCCGTCAGAGTCTCCGTTCTGCCTCTCTGGGGCCGGATCTTCCAGGTTACAATTCACCATCCCTTAAATTGAACTAGTGTGTTCATGGAAGCATTTACACCCTGCCTTTCCTCTTGGCTCATATTAAAAGTTCTCCTTCGGGACTGGCTTTTTCTTTCCATGCCTGAGGACTGTTTTCACGGATAATGTTTTGCCGTTCAATTTAATTATAAGTTGTTTGGACCGTGTTGTGGTCTGCCCTCTGGATGTTCTAAGAACATACGGGAAGCCATGTTGGATCAGCCCGATGGCCCATCCAGTCCGACACTCTGTCTCACGCAGTGGCCTGCTTGTACCAGGCGAGTCTCTCTGTAACCGTGAAGCCACCTGGCTGTAGAAGACCAAGACGCTCCTTTCCTCCCTCAGGCCACGTAATTGGGGGGAGCTGTGGGTCTGTCAGCTGATCCTTCACTGGACCCCCTCCCCCCAACCCGCACCTCCACTTTTGTGTTGACAGAACAGTCCAGAGAGGAAGGTACGTCACTCAACCGGTGCTGCGTTGTAGTCACCCTCTGGCCGACGACGTTGCCCTGCAGAAAGAGAACCAGGGGACATCAGAGTCGGAAGAGTCACCCAGAGACCACCCAGCCCCCCCCTGTTCTGCAGGGAAGCCGGCCTTCGGGGCTCTCAACCCCCCCCCCGATGCTCCTCCAGTCTCCTTGTAACCAACTTCCAAGGAGTACTCGAGGCTCCTCTTGGTGAAGAGAACAGGGAGGGCTCCCAGTCAGCCACGGAGAGGAGTTCTGGGGGGAAATCCAAACAGGTGACAAGATGCTCCCCCCACCCCCGGAATTTGGATTCTGTAGGCTCTCCATGAAAGGATTATCTTACTCTCTTGTGCAGACCCCCCCGCCTCTCCTGCGTGGGGGGGACACACCAGATCCTCAGCCCCCCCTCCCCCTCCCCTGTGCCTGAGGCACTGAGAAGACCCCCTTGCCTGGGAGAAAGGGCTGTAACCTCCCCCCCCCGTGACACGTTGGGTGGGAGGTTTTCAGTGCCTGTTTCTTGCCCTGCCCTATCTGTTTAGCGTGACATTTGTGGTCAGCCACCCGGGGTCCTGCCTTACGAGAGAAAGGAGAGCTAGAAGTCTTTTAAAACAAATTAATGAACAGATACTTCCCCGTCCATGTTCAAAATGCCATTATGAGGGGAGAGTTCATGGGAATTGCCAGATGTGGGAGAAACATCTGCCCCTGCCAGGGGCCCTCTCGCACCCCCCACAAGCTTCAGAGCGGATCGGCCACAAGAATATCACACTCTGCTCATCCAGGCCCCCCGTTCACTTACTCATGTAGAAGGCGACCCCGGCCCCCAGCAGAAGGGCAGCGAGGACGACCCCGACAATGACGACTCCCACAATGAGCCAAAAGTTGGATGCTGAGGAGGAAAGGGAGGAAGAAAGGTCATTGTTAGCCCAGCCACTGCCCCTCCAAGGCAGAGATATTCCAGACGAAGCATCTCAGGTTGCTAGTAGTTGCATAAATTGCATTGGGAACATACTGCGTGTGATGACAACCTCCACACCGAGTTCCTGCCCCCCATCCATCTCCCAGAGCACCCCCCGGACATTCTGCCCCCTGCCCCTTTAACATATGGGTATGAGCAACTGGTCAGTACCTCCCCCCCAGGAAGCCCAGAGACCTACTGGGAGATTCTGCTCTAAACTGTGACGCTGCTAAGGTGGAGGGCATCTTTTCTGGGAGTCCCTCCTTCCTTCCTAGGCAAACATCTACCTTCCACATTCTGTCAGCCCCCCCCAAGGGTACCCCCCCTTTCCTGCTCCCGCAGTCCCTCACCCGGCTCCTCCCAGGCCAAGTCCAGGGGCTCCAGGAGGCTGTCGTGTCCCACCCGGCACTGGTAGCGGTCCTTCTCCTTGGGGTCCACCTCGATGCTGAGCCAGGTGTTGTAGGTCCCGTCCGAGTTGGGGACGACACCCCCCGTCATGGTCTCTGCCATCCGGTCCTCCCCGTCCTTCGTCCAGGTGACCTCAATCCCTTTGGGGTAGATGCCGTGCAGCTGGCAGAAGAGGGTCTCCTGGCCATCGTAGCCCTTCTTGCGTGCCAACCTCACCACTGGGGCCTCTGTGGGAAGGGCAATTTCACCCTGGGTTAACACGCTGCATCTCCCGAGATGAAAGATTGGAGACTGGCCTTGAAGGGACCCCATGTGGTTTTCCAATCCCATCCCCGAATGGATGCACCAAACCTGCAGCATCTCCGAGAGATGAAACATTCCACAGAAGTGGGTTCTCCAACCTAGCCTGGGAAATTAGGTTGTGGTTCTGAGACTGGCCTCGTGTGAGTCCCTTCAGGGTTTGGGGGTGAAGAGCCTTCCTTAACCCACATTTCAGTGTTCTTTTCTAAATTATCCTTAGTACTCATTTTAGAGGACTAAGCAAGAAACACAAACAAAGACACTGCAGACGCACCAAATCAGGCCACCTCAGGGTTACTAACCAGCCTGGTCAGCCTCAAAGAACCCCCCCACCCAATGTGGCCAGAGATTTTTCTGCTTTCTGCAAGATACAACAATCTCTGCACATGCTCTAAGATACTCAGCCCTTACACTGATATTTCAGAGTTGTCTGTCTGAATGGAAAGGGTACTCTGCTAATGCCCAGACACCTTTATCCTGAACTGTCACAGTTTGTGACATCAAAAAGCAACAGTCTTCAATTAACTTCTAAGGGGTGGGTAGACAGGAGTAAAAGGCAGATCTACACGGACCGTCTAGATTTTTTACACTTAGAGAGCCCCCGTCCCCAAACACACACATCAAATTGACCATCAAATTACAGATCAACTCGGTATTCTCAGGCCAGATCTTAGAAATTTGCTGGGGTGCAAATGCAGGGATCTTTCTGCTTTTTGCATGCAGTCCTCCGAAATGTGCTGTCAGTTTAAAGAATACACACATATCCACAGTCTACACTGGAGAAATCATGAATCCAGGTTCCTGGTCGTCACGGTGCGGCAACGAGCAGTGTCTGGATGAGCTCCGATCCGCCCGATTCTCGGCTGCTCAATTGGGGTCTCCCGGCTGCCGGGAGAGCCCCACCCAAGCTCCTGGAGGGAGATTGGGAGCAGGGGGCATTGGTTTTTGGCCCCTCCCATTCTGGCAAGATGGGGGGGTGTCCAATTAGTAGCCCCGAAGCTTGAGCGGTGAACGAGATCGAACATGGCCGCCATGTTCCAATTAGCTGCAGCCGAACAGCTTTTAAATAAAATAAAAATGGACTGAATTGAATGCAGCAACAGAAGAGAAGACACATAAAGATGATTGTTTGTGAGTGTTGGGAAATAAGGCGAAAAGGAAAAGTGAATCTACCCTGAGCTACATGGTCCAGAAGGAAAGGAAACAGTGGCTAGAAAATGTTGAAGGAGACGAACTGTAAGTCATACTATTTTATGCAGGGGATTTTCGCCGAGGTTCTCAGGGGAGGCTACTTAGCAACTTTAAAAAGAAATTAAAAGACTTGCCAGTAGGGAAACATCAGCGATTAATCTGCAAACGGGATGAGCAAAATGGTGTTAAACGCAGGAGAAGAGGAGGAGGAGATAGATGGAGATATTTTGATTGAGGAACTGTCGATAGAACAATTTTAAAAAATCTTAAGGAAAACAATCCAAACAGAAATAAAAGCAGCTTGTGCTAGCTTACTAGACTGAGTTAATAATTTGCAACGTGTAATAGAAAATAAGGCGGAACCGGAACAAACAACTCGGACTATAGAGGTAAATGAGGAACGTTTGCAAAGGGAGAGCTCTGCCGAGGTTTCGCCCATTCCACCCCCCCAGACGATAAAGGTGGAGGCACCATGGACGGGAGTAAAAAAAAAAATACAAGAAAGAGCGATACTGTAAGAAAGACAAAAGATGGAAAGACAGAGAAGGAAGACCACGTAAATGGAAAGTTAAGGATGGCATTACAAAAACGGAATGGAACTTTTTGAAACGTGCTAGTAATCAAATGGAAAACGATCACCACACCTTTAAGGAACGGAGACATAAAGACATGGTGTTGCAAGGGAAAAGGTTGCAGATATTCAGAAAGAGAAGGAAGATCTGGCTTAATTGTGAAATAGGTTTTGGATTTGATTGGAAAGTGGCAGATAATTAGAAAGAGAAGGAAGACTGACGGAAGATTAATTAATAAGTGTGAGATTTGATGGGATGAAGGCGATGAAATGTTTAAAGCTAAGGGGATGTAGGAAATAAGGGTGAACACAATTAATTCATTGGTATGGGTGTAAGTTTGAATGAATGTAAAGGATAGGTTTTGTTTAAAATTAAAGGTCTGGAGGAAGTAAGGGTGAATTATTCTTTTTTTGAATACTGATTAGGAATAGCTGTAAGTAAAATATGATTTATGAAATAGTAAATATGTAAGTTTGAATGAATGTAGAGAACATTGACAGTAACTAACTAAAATATATGAATTCTTCTTCTTTAGGGAACCTTTATGCTCAACATTCTAACCAAAGGGCCTTTTAAAAAACATTGCAAGAGGATTTTGCAAATTTTGCAGGAGAAATTATTCTAGCAGGTAGCTTCAATAGGTTATGAACAATGGGATGGATCATCAAGACATCAAATACTCCCACTTTTGATTCTTCTTGGATGTGGAAAGGCTTTTGATAGGGTGTTAGTGATCAGAAGGAGTTATTGAATCTGCATTCCCTGGATGTGTCTGCTTTGGAAGTATAAGAAAACTTTTCATACAACCTAATTCTTTTGTCACACAGAATGTTTTGAATGCCTTATAATCACCCTGCCTTGGCACTAACACATGTTTATATGCTGTAGTGTGCGTGTACACAATAATCTGACCACTGAGGAATGCCTTGAAATGCGTTCTGTCCCATTTCAATGTGATTCAAGGTTATCAAGCTAGTTATTGAACTGTTGGTCCTGTTTTATTGGTTCAAGGGTCTCAACCTAGAGATGTTAAATTGTATGCTATATTGAGTCAGGACTTCTTGGTTCAAATATTTGCTACTTCAAGGATGGAAGGTGCGTATGTTTTCAAAGTTGAGTTTTAGTACACTTTGTAATAACTACACATATTTTCTTTATTTTACTTCTTATAATTTTCTCTCACCTAACCTTTGGGTATTCAACTTTGTTGATTCACAGGGTTGGGTTTTCTTCCCTTCTGTTTTGGTTTGTTTTTGACAGGGTGGAACATAAATATTTACTGAAATGCTTAGACAAATTTGGTTTTGCAAGGAACTTCAAAGAATGGGCAAAAATAATTTCTTCCAACTCTACAGTAAAGAGAAATAATATAAAAGAAGATATTTCACAGCCAATGAGGTTAAATAGAGCAAGGATGCCCCTTTTCAGCATGATTAACATTTGCTCATAGCCATTCGCCACACCAATTAGAGATTTGCCTAGTATAAAGGGCACTGGGATAGGAAAAGATTCTTATAAGATTAGTTTCTTTGTAAACAAGATAGTAATTTTTTGTAACAGATCCGGAAAAATCAGCTGCCAATTTAGAAATCCTTACAAAGGAATATAGTAAAATAGCAGGATATAAGGACTGAAGCAGAGCTTTTAAATATGGATTTAGATAGTTTTTCTTCTCAGAACTGGATTAGAAAAATCAAGATTACAAAAAAATTACATATTTAGGAATTAAATTAAGCAAAAACAAGGAAGACTTATCCAGTAATAATTTTAAAGCAACAACTGTGGAAATAAACACATTTGCCCTTTGGAAAACTTATCAATTCTAGGTCAGATAAACAAAGCAAAGATGATGCTGATATCAAAAAATAATTATATGATCTTACCAATTATGGTAAATGAGTTTATACGGGGCAGTAAAAAACCTAGAGTCAACTGGTCAGTATTACGAAGTAAAAGCAAAGAGTGTGAACTGGGTTTTCCTAATTAAGTAATATATCACAGGGCCACGTGACTGGTTTAAGTATCATGAAAACTGGATTCTTAATGGGTTATTGAAGATTTGGGATAGTTATAAGAAAAACATGGTCACCTGACATCTCTCTAGCAGCATCTTGATAAACAGCAACATTTTAAATGTGACTCATTAGAAAATTGGGAATCTTATGGTATTCATATTTATATGACATTAATTACCTTGGACTTTCAGAAAATGGAATCAACTTAGCAATAACAATATAAAATGGTTTCATGTTTTACAACTTAAGAACTTCTTGAATAAAAGTATACGTGGAAGTTTAGGAATAAGAAAATTAACAAAAATTGGAGAACTTATCCATGTCAAAAACAAGAGCAACTACTTTCTAATATCAGTAAAATATCAGCAACTCAAAACAACAATTTCAACCTAAATGGGGGAAAGATTTGAAATATAAAATTCCAGAGGAAAGATGGAAATTTATTTTTAGTTTATCCTTTTCTATTTCTCTCCAATTTTGAGAAAATCTAATAAACATGCTACATAAATGGCATATGACATAAAACCCATAAGACACACGTATCTTGGTACTGCAGACAACCAAGTGCAGGCTATTTGCATATGTGGTGGATGTGCAGAAAAAATACCGGTTTCCCAGTTGTAGACATGATGAAATGTAGATGAGCTATTCCTCTGAGGATTGTTGAACTGTTAATATACATGGCTAGATGAACTGTCAGATCTGTATGATCTGAGTGACAGCAGCAGGACTGCTGCAAACCTGTCCTGGCCGGTTCTGACCAGACAAGTGGTGTGAGGTCAGTGATGTGACATCAGCTCATTGCTGATTGGTTGTATATATGTATAAATGTAGTCAAGTGCTGGACTATGTATTCCTTATGTGAATCACGGCGTATGGCGAAGCACTTTGATGGAGCACTGTATAATTCTGTAAATAAATTGTATATAGTTCACCACAAAGAACTGTGTGGCGTGGTACTATATGCTGGATGTGCTGCTGACTGCTGGAGTGGCTGGAAAGGTTGGTGAGGCTGAAAGAGTCCTGGCAGCTGGCTACTACTTACTACTGGCACCAGGCCGCCACATGCGCACCGCGCAACAGGGTTATGGGCCCAGCCTGGCGGTGTCTGGAGCTGTGAGGCGGTGGTCTGCTCAGTGGGGACTCAGC